CCATGTGGTTTTGTCATTGGCTCTAATCTTCTTTATAATAATAATAAAAAAAAAAAAGCTTACTAAGGAATAAGTATACGCAATTATTGCGATAAATAGGTGGTTTGGAGTTATTAAGCTCTTAGATAAGAGGATGTCAAAGCTCAATTCAATTTATAATTGTTCGTTAGATTCATTAAAAAAAATTTAAAAAAAATGATTAGAAAATGTATTGTGGGGTAATTAATAAAAATGCATCATCGTTCACGGAGGTTGGGAAAAAAAAACTGTTGTGATAAACTTTCCAAATCCATCCACGTGTGTATATCTGATCAACATCGACCGTATTCGAATAAGGAATTATTAATTTAAGGAGCTAATTCAGTTGGTAAATCACGCAGTTATAAGTTCCAATTAAGCAAGTTTAGGGAATAACGGTGCCGAAGTTATTGAAAGCTAAGCTAAAGAGTATTTAATTTTATCCCTGTATGACATTGGCACCACGATTACTATAATATTTACGGCTTGGTAACACTTCTTTCGTAATTTGTCATCATATATTGTTGGTTTCTACAAGTACGGAACTGGGATCAGTTTACAATTAGTTAGTTTCACAAACGGAATTAACACTTTTATGCTTGAGAACAAAACATTTTCCTTGAATTTCTCGGCTGCTAGAGAAAAACCCTGTTGTTAGATAGATTAATGTTATGCATACATAAGAGGTCATTGAAATCGTTGAGTGATACTCGTTTGTTCCCAAATAATTGTTCAATTTAAAATTTTATTTATTTTAAAATATATTATAATAGGGCGTCCGATTTTTAGTTCCTATAGTGTTTTTCAGTTCAATTTTCGTCCCTAATCTTTTTCTCGTGAAGAAATTAGTCATGATAGTTTTTTTTGTTCAAAATTAGTCCTATTGACCGGATCCGGCCACTATTCTGGCGAAAAATATTTTTTAATTATTTTTAAGAAAGTGTAATTACAGATTTTTCCTAAAATTTTATAATTTATTAAGTTTATCCAATTTTTTTTAATCCAATGTTATCTTTAACACATCACTTTTATCTTATTCTTCTCATATTTATCATGAACAAACTAATCTTAATATTTATTAATTTATTATTTATTCTATTTTTTTAAACTTTGCTAGCCCTATGCTAAACTAAAAATCTACATGTCATCATTTATTCCATTGGCCCATACAAAACTATAAAAATGTAGTTGGAAGAAAATATATAAGTAAATATTTTAGGATTTTTTTTAGTTTGTTTGTGAAAAAAAAAGAGAGAGAGAATAGGTTAAATAATATAATAACTTTATATTTTTGTAAGTAAGATTTGATTGGATAGCATATTTTATATTTTATATTTTTTACGTAAAAAATAATAAATATTGAAAGTCATGAGAAATTTTTGACCAAAAATTTAGGTGTAATTTACTGAAATCTGGATGGAAGATAAATTTTTGTAAAATTAATAGAATTATAGTTTAATTTGCTCTTTTCCAAAAGTTTGAGGACAAAAACGTAATAGTTTAGGACAAAATTTTAGTAGTTTTCCATTTTGCCCTTTAAAAAATACCTAAAACAACAAACTTTAAACATATGATACGTGATTTGATGAAACTAATTTTTAAGATACATGATCTGAAGACCCCTATTTTTAGGGTACATAAAATGGAATTTTCTCTTTTTTAAAAGTCAGAAGTACGGGTAATCACTCGAAGTAATAATAATAATAATAATAATAATAATAATAATAATAATAAAGGCATGCATGGAGATGGAGGTTTGGGTTTGGATAAGTGTAATGGCGAGATGGGATTGGGTCATCAAAGAGAAGGTTTGTCTGGATGATTTGATGAGCAGAGAAGAGAATGTAAAATCTGGGATGGGAATCACGTGTGCTTATGCTATGTGTGTCTGTATCGAACCCGGCGCGGCACACAGCTCTCATGATCCGCACCCCCACACTCTTCATCTTCACGCGCGCTCCGTAATTTCGTGAGTCTTATTGAGGTTGTGGTACTAGTATTTATAACGTAGAGAATTTCTATCAATCAGTTACGGGAGTCTACTCTACAAGATCAACTCTAAAGTCAATAATACACTATGGTAACAAGCTTTATTCCATTTTCATTGTACATGTTTTTCTCATGAAGTCAAAATATTAAGGTTTAACATTTTCAATAATTTTTTCTCCTACTAATGTGGTTAATATATATTGTAAAACAATAATACAACAAATACATGTTAATCATTCATAAGTAATATAATTAGTGTAAATTTATCACATGGATAACCTAGATAACATAGGTGTGTTGTTTGATGTTAGACGTTAGTGACAGGAATATTCATATTGTATATATTGAAATATGAATTCAAGACACATGACATTTTCTAAGAACAACCACACGACGTCCTTCTTTGACAACTCAAATAAACTTCCCACATTTATTTACTTTAATTTTTTAGGATAACGGTTTTATCTAAATTGCCAACTATTACATGTTGCAGCATTTTTTTTTCCCTTCCACTTTACATTTGCCAAATAGCAGTATATGTCAAGTAACAGAAGAAGTAATATAATATTTTATGTTTATGCGGTATAATAATATAAAAGTGTCAGTAACTGGCAAAGCTATCGGCTCTAAGACAACAAAACAAAACCATACATAAAAACCGAAATTAAATGGGAGAAAAGAGAAAGACAAAACTAAAATGAATAAAATAGAAATACAATAGTACTTAATGTAGTTAAAACAAGCGCGTGAAATGCAAATGAGTTTAGGATGTGGGAAGTAAAACAGCGTCAATGATTGAAAGTGTTTTGGATAAATATGGGGATGACAAAAACGCAAAAGAGAAAGAGTCACCGCCGATGTAGTAGGTCGCCGACCAATCACGGGCTGGCGTAATCGATCGGTGAGTGGCTTCCATCTTCCAGACCCAAGTGGGCGTCCTTTTCTGTCTTTGTGGTGCCCCATTATTGTATTTTGTTACTGATACATTACAGAACCCACCGAGACCCAACCGGCCCAGAAGAAGTTCAGGGGACTCAATATACCCCTCGGCCCTACTAGAGAAGGCTTATGATATTGTTTCCCCCAGGCCAGAAGTAGTAATAATACATGGAGGATGAACTATCTGTGGGTCCTTTTACTGAAATCAGAAGATTAAGATGATCTTAATAACTCCTTTTCACTTATTTTTTCTCATACAATAAAGGAGACCATCGCTTCACCAACTAGTAGATATAAAATTCATGAAACGAACCATCAACTTGTTTCATTATCCGGTCGATCTGCAGTGGGTTGATAAACCACCGTCAGGAATGAAATTGTGATTGAAATACGATGGTATTTAATTTAATTTATGTCAGGCTATAATCTCATTCTTTATACCAAAGAAACACTTTTTTTTCTTTAATCTTTCTGATGATAAAATAGTAATACACATTATGATTTTTTTTCCCTAAAAAAATACTTTAAATGTCATAAAAGTTCAAATGTCGTCCAAATCAGCCTAAAAAAAAATTGTATTATAGGAACACACATGATTAATGGGTGCATTGCATTCTAAACTAGTTTCTTTGTTGGTTGGAGTTGTAACTTGTAAACAACAAACTAATAGCTAAAAAAAAAAAAAGAAAGAAAAAACTCGCATGATTGCGTTTTGGGTACTTGCCTTCTAATTGTTCTCTTTTCCATGAGTCAAGAGATTACAATTTCGATTAGGATGGATGGATATCTTAATTGATTGTCTTTCGGGTACGTGCCTCCTATTTTTTCTTTAAAAATACTTTTTTTTTTAAATCACAAAATAATTGTCTTGTTTAGAATGGAAATAATAATTTTTATTTACCCATACCAAAAACACAATTTACTATCTCAAATTAATTTATTTGTAATGATTATTTATCATCATTTCAGTCTCTGTGCTGCGGGGAATCAACTTGATAATTGGCAAATTAACTTATCTTTGTCAGCTAGATTGTGGTGAAATCAAAGAAAGTTGCCCATTAGATTCTGGGATTCAAGATATTCTTTCAGACACGATAACCTAAACATATGTACACCTTTGTCCAAAGCCACCGATCTGGAAATCACCAATTTTCCTTTTGCAGGGTCTCAATCTATTAAATAATTTATTCAGTAGCAGTCATTTTACGCCGAAAATATGGTAGATCGATGAAGTGAATGCGAGTACAAGTTGAAAATTTTAGCCACGAGGCTTCTTACAATATCGTACAAGGCAACTCTTAAACTGCCGTTACTCTATAACTTTTTCCCATCACAATATCAGATTATCCTTTCAATTTCGTGCGCTAATTTGGTTTCTCCAGCGAAACGGCACAATTTTGTATGTAAATATATTACTCCATTCGTGTCCAAATTACTGTCCAGTTTAGAATTTCATTTTTAGTACAAAGTGAACTAAAAGTAACAATTCAAATTGGATAATAATTTTATGACAGAGTAAATAATGTTTATAAGATCCATAAGACGTTGACATCATTAAGAGTGATTATTAAAACACGATTAGTACATTTGATCAAATAATGCACATATAATTTTATTTAATCGATCACACATCAAGTATTCAGGAAAATAATTAGTTACACACAAAGGGCGCGCACTCTCTTTCAAGGGAGTTGCTAATTCTGTAAACTGGAACAAAATCCAACTTGGTTCTTACTGTAATAAAAAGGCTTTATAGATAACGTAATTGGCCGCTATCACTTGATGTTCTTCTCTTTTCTTTTGTCTTGCCATAAGCTAGCTTAAAACACAATCCTTTTTGTCTTCAAACTTAAAAATTCATCACTCAGATAAAGTTAAAGAGGAACAATCTTTCACGGATGTAGGATCAATGATAGAGTCAAAAAGGGATAGTCGATGATTCTATATGAAGAAAAAAAAAAATTTTTAAAAAATAAAGAAATCCACATTTTAGTCTTTCTCTTCTTAATGCTTAGAGTATTCTTCTTATCTATCATCACGGGTTGCTAAAAAACAAATTTTTTTTCCCCTAAAAAAAATGGAAAAAAATGATTATTTATTCATTATAAAACCAACCCTTTTAGAATGCTTACAATCCCGCATTCTCTTATTCTTTATGCAGAGGTCATACAGAAAACAAAAACACAAATGGCCTCTCATTCTCAGCACTCTGTTTTCCCCTGTTTCTTCTTCATTCTTCTGTGCCATTTCCTGTTGAATATTGCACGATTGGTTTCAGCCCAGAAACCCGTTTTCGCCTGTGATGTGGACAGTAATCCCGGGTTGGCGAATTATACTTTCTGTGACAAGTCATTGGACATTAAAACCAGGGTGGATGATCTAGTGAAGCGGCTGACATTGGAGGAGAAAATCGGTTGCTTGGGTGATGCTTCTGTCGGTGCCGGCCGGCTCGGGATACCGAAATATGAGTGGTGGTCGGAGGCTTTACATGGAGTTTCGTATACTGGTCCGGGAGTACATTTTAACAGCTTGGTTCCTGGTGCCACTAGTTTCCCTCAGGTTATTCTTACAGCAGCTTCTTTCAACGAATCCCTTTTCGAAACCATTGGAAAGGTAATATTTTTATCCTAAAACATGAATCTCTGTTGCTCACTTCATTTGATAATGTTCATAATGGTGAAATGGTATTTAGGTGTATTAATTACTAATAAAGATGGTTCATTTGTTGTTTTTTCTGAAGGTTTTTTTCTTCTGAAGAATAGATTGAGTGTGAAGTGGATTGGTTTTTTTTTTCCCCTTCTTCTTCTGTGTGTGTGTGTGTGTGTGTGTGTTTGGTGTATGGGAGGAATTAAATTTTTGTGGTTTGGAGTTGATGATTTGGAATAATATCGGATGATGAATTTGATGATCTCTTTTACCGAATGATGATAACACAAGCTGTGGCGCAGCTGGCGTCTTTGTCTCTGTCATTTCTTGTGATTGTGAACCAAAAAAAAAAAAAAAAAATACTAACAAAGTAAAAATAAAAAGAAAGCTGCTTTTTTAATTTAGCATTATAAAATGGCTTCTTCCTTCAAGAGGATTACCCAACAAATAACAATCATCAATCGGTGACATCCCCTGTTTATTGGTCTAGATTAAAAGAATTTCTCTTATTTGACTAAAAAAAATGCTGCTGCAAGATTTTATCAGTTCACCGAAACCGAATGCTGGTGTTAATTTCTTCCAAGCTGTTTCATGATGTAAAAAAATGTGTTAATTCAAGCATTTAGTTAAGAGGTGTGTTTCTGATTCAGCTGATGATATTTTCGGTAGTCCTACCAAAAGCTCATACAAGAAAAACAGAGGCAAAGTGTGCGTGAAAATGACTTCTTTTCCAGAGCAACAATAATAATAGTCATAATAAAACAGCAATACAATATAACCCCCCATTAAAATTTTTGACCCATGTCGCCATCATTCTATTGTCTTTGCCTTTTTTGAAAGCATGGTTCGCCTGTTTAAAGACGGCAAGAATTTAATCAACTTTTTTTTGTGAGTAAATTAATGGAAAAGACGCTGTTTTACGGACGATATCCACTACAAACTAGGAAGAAAAGACTACCTATTAATGATCTAATCAATCACTATTCATATCTTTTTGATGTGAAAGGACATCAAGGCTATATAAAATTAACTCGTGATTTTCTTCGTCTTAGTTGAAGAAAAGTTAGCATATTTTAAGAAAAACTACAACGTACGGGTGCTTTTAGTTGTTGGATCTCTCTGATTATGAATACTTAATTTGTCATTTCAATTTGCTCTCCTAAAGTCTTAAATCTTATTCATGTGTTGGATGAAAAAGATTCCAGCTAGCTAGCATTTTTTTTTTTTTTTTCAGGATAAGATTAGATCCTGTATGTGGATTTGTTCATGAGTTCACCTGTTACATCACACAACTGTGTAAATGTTTCCCTTCTTCATGCCATAATTCATGATGATGATGCTGACATTTTAGGATGCAAAGAATGGTTCATCTGTCACATAATTTATTGCCCTTTTAGATAAAAGTAGCAAATTTTGATCCAATAAAAACTTCAGCACTGCATTAATTTCTGGGTTTTTTAAGGAATGGATTATTGCACAAAATGCAGGTTGTTTCGACAGAAGCTAGAGCAATGTACAATGTAGGATTAGCAGGGTTGACGTATTGGTCCCCAAATGTGAACATATTTCGAGACCCAAGATGGGGTAGAGGGCAGGAAACTCCAGGGGAAGATCCTACTCTCACTAGTAAATATGGCGCTGCTTACGTTAGAGGTCTGCAACAAAGAGATGATGGTGATAAAGATAGGCTTAAGGTTGCTTCTTGCTGCAAACATTATACAGCTTACGATGTCGATAATTGGAAGGGAATTCAGAGATACAGTTTCAATGCACTGGTATTTGTGTTACTATTTGTTACAGAATTAGCCTACTTTTTGAACATCTTTTAACGTTCGAATTGGAGTGATTTAATGGAGATTTTGTACGTTTCTCTAGGTTACACAACAAGATATGGATGATACATTTCAACCTCCATTTGAGACCTGTATATCCGAAGGAAATGTTGCAAGTGTTATGTGTTCTTACAACCAAGTGAATGGTATTCCAACCTGTGGTGATCCGAAGCTATTGGCCGGCACCATTCGAGGAAAATGGAACTTGAACGGGTATTGTGATCTATTGATTTTCGCTTTCAAAATTATGGTGCAAGATGAAGTCCTTAATTACAGGAATTCTTGATTTCTTGGTGTTGTTGCTGCAGGTATATAGTGACCGATTGCGACTCACTGGAAGTAATGTTTGACAACCAACACTACACAAAAACACCAGAAGAGACGATAGCCTTGTCCTTGAATTCAGGTAGCCAATCAAGTTATGCATTTTATATAAGAACAATAGTGCGTTCAAATAAAATGATATCGTTTTACTGACGGGACACAATTAACATATGATTAGTAGAAAACAGACAGTTCGTTCTAAACGTCTAAATCCCGCAATCATGGGTATTGAAATGATTAGGTAATGATAGCCATATGCAGGTTAGTAAAGGTTGGTAGAACTAAACCGCAACATTTTGAGCACTTTAAGCCCCACACAAGGAAAAAAGTAAGAAAGAACCTTCCATCTTATCTGCATAGTCTATTTTCCATTACAAGGTTGAGTGACTGTAGTCCAAGTAAAGATCATTAAAGCGGTATCCCCTTTTTCTAGCTTTTGGACCTAAAAAAATGTTTGTTTTCTAGTCTCTATATATCTAATCTCATTTGGTGTCGGTTCCTTCTCTTTTCTCCCTGAACTTAAAAGTTGCAACACCACATATAATTAATGTCTGTGTCTTATGTTCTTAATGGATTTCCTTTATTTACGCATGGTCGAATAAGACAGTGAGATATGTACATAAAAATTGTGTCTTATATATACGTCCGGATGGAGTATAAGAATACCGAGATATGAACGTTAACATCCTCATGGAAAGGCCTTAATTAGTCACAATGTAATTATGGCTTTACTTCTGATTGTGAAAAGAAATAAAGAAAAACTTCGTTTGGTGTATTTAATGGCAGGGCTGGATCTTAACTGCGGAAGTTGGCTCCAAAAGTATACCCAATCTGCTATACAACAAGGCTTAGTCCAGGAATCAGTAATTGATAGGGCCTTAACAAACAACTTTGCAACCTTAATGAGACTTGGGTTCTTTGATGGAGACCCGACAAAGCTACCCTATGGAAATCTAGGCCCAAAAGATGTCTGTACTCCAGCAAATCAAGAACTAGCCCGAGAAGCAGCTAGACAAGGGATTGTGATGCTAAAGAACACATTAGTCTCAAAAACATTTCAAGGAGCAAATTCTTATGGACTCCCTCTGTCCCCTTCATCCATTAAATCTTTAGCAGTTATTGGTCCAAATGCTAATGCAACTCACACCATGCTCGGCAATTATGAAGGTAATCTTTCATTTTTGTTACATTCTTTTACCAATTCAGATGTTTTATAGTATCACTTAAAAGAGTTATCGGATACTACGAGAGTATTCAATCAGTAAAATGATACGGCTTCATTAAAACTACGAAATTTATGTTATATTTATGAACAAAACGATGCGTTGTTTGCAGGGTCGCCGTGTAAATATGTTAGTCCATTGCAAGGCCTAGCAGTCTCAGTGTCAACTGTGTACCAGGCGGGCTGTTCGGATGTGTCCTGCGGCACTGCTCAGGTAGAAGAAGCTAAGAAAATCGCGGCCGGAGCTGACGCAGTGGTTCTGGTAATGGGTTCAGATCAATCCATTGAAAGGGAGAGTTTGGACAGGAATGACATCACTCTTCCAGGACAACAAGCGACTCTAATTACACAAGTTGCTAGTGTCTCCAAAGGACCTGTGATCCTTGTAATTATGTCAGGTGGAGGTTGGGATATCCAATTTGCTAAAGATGATCCCAATATTCACAGCATTTTGTGGGTTGGTTTCCCTGGTGAAGCTGGTGGTGCTGCTATTGCAGATGTCATTTTCGGTTTACATAATCCTAGTAAGTGTTTCCTACTAATTTTCTCAGATTTCAGTTAGATTCTGTTCATTTCATCTAGCAAAATAAAGACCAATTCAGCCCAAAGGTACTAATGCTTGATTTGGTAGGTGGAAGACTACCAATGACATGGTATCCACAAGCCTATGTAGACAAGGTTCCCATGACAAATATGAACATGAGGCCGGATCCTGCGACGGGTTACCCGGGCAGGACATATCGATTTTACACCGGACCAACTATTTATAAGTTCGGAGATGGATTGAGCTATTCAACATATGAACATAGCCTAATGGAAGCACCTCAAACTATCTCCATTCCATTAGCTGAGGGGCATTTTTGTTTGTCATCAAACTGCTTGTCTGTTGATACTGATGAACAGAGCTGCAGTAATTCAAGCTTCAACGTTCATTTAAAGGTGAAAAACAACGGAAACATGCCCGGAAGCCATACGGTTTTCTTGTTTTCGACGCCTCCATCGATCCACAATGCACCTCAAAAGCATCTTTTGGGATTCCAAAAGCTCCATTTGATAGCACAAGCAGAAGGGTTAGCTAAATTCAGTGTGGATGTTTGCAAGCATTTGAGCATTGTTGATGAGTTAGGGAAAAGGAAAGTTGCTGTAGGAAAACATGTACTTCATGTAGGAGATTTGAAGCATTCCTTGACTGTGAGAATTTAACAAGAATCTCACATCAATGATGTCTTTTGAACTTTAATCCCTCCTACAACAAAAGGAAAAAGGGAAAAGGGATGATATTAATAGATTGAAATTTGAGCCCCAGCAAAAAAAAGTTGGAAAAATCATTTTAACTAGTCTTTTGTCAGTTGAAAACTTGAAATGCCAACTTGTATTCATCTAGAATCAAAACTTTGAAACTAAGAACAAGTTGAGAAGGTGATGATGCTGAAATAATGACTTCAATAATATCATAAACCTCCCCTTGTTGCTTGGGTCACATCAATATTGGTTGAAGAATAATCTTTTTGGGACTTTTATTTACCACAAAAAATATTATAATTACATTGCAAAAGGTTAACTTCGCATTGGCCACAACAACAAATCATCAATTATTGGTGTACAATTTACTTAGATCCCATCTACCCAATTGTTTAGTTTTCATCATCTTTTTGCTACTACTAATTAAGCCTTCACTTAGATCCCATCTACCTAGGAATTTAGTTATCATCTTCATTCCTAATCAACAAACAAACAACACTACCATTTATTGGAGGGAAGGGGCTGTCTTTTATGTCGTCGGGGAAATACATTAGAAGAATCATTTTGCAATTGAGTGAATAAAACCCTGATTGGACTTAAGGTAAAAGGCAAAAGTCGTTTGATATAATACTCCCTATGTCTCAAAATTATTGTCGTATTTGAGATCTCACTTTTAGTACAATTTGAACTACAAATGAAAATCCAAACTGGATAATAATTATAGGAAAGAGAGAGTATTAAAAATAATACGCTATTCCTCCCAAATTATTGCTCCAGTTTATATTTTCATTTCTAGTTCAAATTATACTGAAAGTGAAAATTAAAACTGGAGAAAAATTTTGGGACAGTAAGAGTAGTAATTGAAAAGAACATTCACAAAAATTCGAGAGATGACATCCTTTACTTCTTCCCAAATCATGTCTCTAGCAGTTCTTTAATAGGCGGAAATGCTGAATATCTTAGCAAATTCATAATATCTCCATTCTTCTCATCATTTAAGAGTTTTGTTTATTGACTAAAATAGTATAACAAATATTACTCATAATATCGATGAGAAGAATAACAAGAAAAAAAATGTGCTGATGAAAACAAATGATTATTGACAATCAAATTAATTGTAGTGTGAATTTTACACGATGAGAAAGGGGACATCCCCTGTTGAGGTTGAAGATATCACGATCGATCACAATCATACGATAATAATGCACTTTAAACTATTTATGAAATACGTCGAGTAACCACATATGTTGATGATTACGTAATTAATGTTGTAACTTTAGATTATTTTTCATGACTAACCAATGAATTTCTTTAATTTTTTTAATAATTAAAGAAATATTGGTGGTACGATTATTTCAAACCTGGAACTACAAGAATCGGATCCATATTGCGTAAGCTGAACAAACAAATAGTAGGTGTCTTTAAGGGATCACCAGGCGCCAATAATTTTATTAACTTTTATTATGCAAATAATACATTAATATTCAAAATGGCTTTGATTAGTTGGGAATTGATAGTGATTGAAATGCATTTCATCTAGGTTGGACAATCGAACCAATAATGCAGAACTCTATTAAATAAACTAAAAGAGTAATTAATTATTTCAATATAATAAGGCTGATTTCAGATTCCAGCAAATTCAATTATGCCAAAGTCTGGGTTACGTAAGAATCTGTTTGAATATTCTACAGAACCTGTGTGGTGGCCTACTAGCCTGTATGTCAGAATTGGGCGAGGATTGATAAATCTGAGATGGATTCAAACATTTTAAAAATTTGAATTTAATAATTGTCTGCTAATTAATTACTAGTATATTCATTGGGGGTTATAATAGATTATTAATAACTAATTTAAAAGCTTGAAGCTGAATATTCCGTTTTTTATGTCTCACTCACAGGAACAAGTCCTATATTCTGAATCTACATATAGGGTTTATACTTCAATTCCTGCAAATCACGAGGGTGTTTTTAGGGTTAGACTTTCTAGTACTCTCTAAGTCAACTCTTTTTCATTGGCTCTTCACAAATAACCCATTTAATTAATTTGCTTAAGTAGACTTGATTAACTCTCCAACTCATTTCTCTCATATATACATGAATCGTTTAAATGGATGGTGGGATCTAAATGAGTTATTGATAGGACACCCATTAAGAAGAGCGTTCATACTTCGATGCAACTAAATTTTATTTATTGATGAGGATAATTTACTTGTTCTGAGGCTTTGAAGTGATAAAGTCAGAGCATGCACCCTAACAATGATAATGATGATCGATACGAATATTTATAGAGAAATAAAAATAGTCGTTTTTTTAAATTCTATATAGAGGAAAAACTATGATTTGATAATTTTACTTCTATTGACTCTAAAATTATTATCCAATAAGTAACTTGCAAGTGCTGTTCTACACATATAGTACCATATATTGCAATGTCGATTTTCTTCTACACCCTAACCTACATAATTGTCAAACTAACGTTCTTACAAAAATCGTATGTTATATCCTACGTGGGTGGTTGGCCTCGACCAATTCTCCCCCGTCCTGCCACAATTTCTATGCGATGATATTATTTGAGTCATTTTTTTGTTTCTTTTCGTTTCGGAAAGGTTCAAAGGAGAACATCAAATCTGAACAAAAACAACGAACAAAAAGAGATATCGATTTTGTTGCCTTTCCGAAGCACGAAATCCGAATTATTTTATACTTCATTGAAGATATAGCAATTGCCTTTCTCAGACTTGTAACTAATTTTGCGGAAGGTGGACGAATAAACTTTACGTCCTAAACTTTGATGAAATGGTTAACGATTTAAATGAAAATTGTTATTAGCACGAGATTGAGGTTGGTTCGACGACTTTTACTAGGAAGATTCAATTTTTTTTTTTATTTTTTTTTTTGTTTTGTCCGCAGAGGATAGTTTTTTGGATATAAAATGACAGAATTAAAAAGCTAATCAAACATGGAATATGATCAGTCGCACAAGTGGCAAACAAAACTTAAAAATTTGTGAAACTTTCAAGAATGTAAAATATAAAGTCTGATGCATGCAAAAAGACACTTCATTCTTCCAAAAGACAGTTTCGTTTTGTGTTTTTTTTTTTTTTTTTTGGTTAAATATAATAATCTATGATATGATGTAGCATCAGCATTATTAGGTCCACGTACGATCACCACCTAGTTGTTATCGAATAGCGTAAGTATGAAGGATTCCTTATCATGACTGTGTGTTTAAATTTCTAGAGTAGATATATAAAAAGAAAGTTCAGTTGGATTGATGATTGGCAGCAATTGGTCGAAGAAGAAACAAGAAACAAGGTAGAAGGTAGTCATTGTCATTTGACATTTCTTTTCTTTTTTTTTTTCTCTCTGGCGCATCATTTTGTACATAGTTCACGAACCCGAAACGCGGCACAAACACGATGGATCCATTTTCCACTCCTTCACACAAAACATACACGCAAGATGTTTTGAACAGATACATATTAATATCGAACTTAAGAGCAAAAATTTTACGAAACGCTCACACTAATTTTCATTCGAAACTCAAGAAAGACGCTTTCGGGAGGTAGAAAAATGGTATAAGGAGGCATGAGTTGAGGAATGACGAGTGCGGAGGGGTGGGTAAAACGGGGAACTGGCAGTCTGGCACTGAGCTTTGTCGATTATGGAGTCACAATAATTGAAGAATATTGTACCAATGAGAGGGTGACATATGTAAGGGGGGTGGGGCGGGGATTATTAGGACACCAGGGGTGGGAAGCCTAGATTCCAACGTTAATTAATGTCTGAGTGGATGCAGTGAATGGGATGTGGGGAAGTGGAGCCGCCACCGTGTGGAGAAAGTGCGACGGGTTAAAATCAATCTCATCATCTTCTGCCACCGTGTGTTATTTTTATCTTTCTTTTCCTCTAGCCGTCTTTCCCCCTCCAAACTCAAGGCTAAGCTGACAAGCTGAGCCACTCTATTTTTTCCAACTACATATAGTAGTAATAATACTGTACTTACTCATAAAAATAATTCACTTTTTAAGTCACTTTTGAACATTCATCCCCAATAAACTCTATTTAAATGTAAAAAAAAAAAAAAACCTTTACGAACCCTTTAAATTAAGAATGGGAACAAGTTAAAATAAAAAATTTATATTATCCTTTTGTGAAAATAAAGATTCAAGTAATAAACGTGTTAGTATAAATAAATCTTACAATCAAAAAATAATAATTACTGTAGTGAGACTTTCTTTTACAAATTTGTGAAATTTTGGTTTCTTTAGTACTTCATACTCTAAGAAATAAAATTTAAAAAGTTCAAAACGATTGTCCCAATACTTTTTTACCTTACATTCAAATAATATTTTTTTGAAGAGATCTACTCTGCGTCACAGCCCAACTCTCTGTCTTTCACGGATTTCCCTTTCATCATCCAGCTGTTACAGAATATTCAACAAGTCCTCTCACCTACTCAGGTCAATGCAATGACTGAACCTTTCACCGCCTCTGAGATATGGGAAGCTGTCAACCAAATGGCCCCTTGGAAAGCACTAAGCTCGGATGGAATGTCTGCTGGCTTCTACAAGACACACAGGCATACTATTGGAAAAGACGTAGAGAAGACCATCCTAGATGTGGTCTACAAACAACAATTTTCCCAAGAATATGAATCACAAAAGCATGGTCTTAATTCCAAAGGTGCCAAATCCTGTAGTTCCTAGTGACTTTCGTCCCATAAGTCTATATAATTTGAAATATAAGATCATTAAAAAAATGATCACGAATAGGCTAAAAGCCATTATTCCATACTTGGTGGATGAACACCAAAATGGATTTGTTCTAGAGAGAAATATTAGTGAAAACATTCTTTCTTGCGTATGAAGTCATTGAGCACATCAACAAAAAAGAGGGAGAGACGGGTCTGACTGCAAGGTATATGACCATGTATCATGGCCCTTCCTTGAGGCAGTTCTCACAAGAATAGGATTTTCAGTGCATGTGATCTAACTCATCATGTTCTGTACCACAACAGTCTCCCACTCTATCCAATTCAATGGGGAAGGACTTTTTTATTTTGACCAAGCAGAGGTTTGAGACAGGGATGTCCATTATCTCCATATCTGTTTATTCTATGCCAGCAGGTGCTCTCTTCTATCATCAGGGCAGAGATCCAGACATTCCCAGGACTCGGAATGAAGATTAGCATACAGGCGCCAAGGATAAGCCATTTGATGT